AATGGTCTGACAAGTCAATTTACAACGAGGTAGTGTTAAGGATGTACAGTAGTGATTAAAAATACAGCTTAGCGTCATTTATATATTACAATAAAGTCTCACATGTCTTGAGTACATAGGTTTGGACTTTTTAAACATTTGGACGATGGCTGTCCTGAATTAGTCACTATAACAATTCTCTATCATTGTTTTCGATAATATATTCAATTCATATTCGATTAAATAATATTGTGATGACAGGATTTCAAACTCTAACTACATTTATAGGAAAATTGTTGAAAATATATATACCATGTCATGTGTTAATTCGGACAAATCTTACATCCATATTCTAATATATGGTTCCATATATAAAAAGCTATCTGTTTGCATCTTTCATTGCATACGTATGAAGAGAAATAGCTTCATAATCATAAACAAACAAAATTCTTATACCAAACAAAATATTCGGGGGTTGTGAAATATTATTTTTATTTACGTTAAATTGATGCCAAACAGGTGCGCGTGTTGTTCACAATAAGATACGCTGTCAAACCGTCTAATTGTTGATATATTCAGGACACTGTTTAAATGGAAAAATCAGTTATTTTATGTTTTGTCTAAAGAGTGTTAAATTCTGACATAGGAGTCTAGACCTTTTATACAATTAATGTAAATTAAGTGAAATATATACTAATCAGCATACCAATGTCGTCTTTTTCCGACGTCGCAAAACGCATAAAACAAGCAATGACGTCAACTAAAATGTTGTATTATTTTCAGCAATTTCGTTACATTTGAAGATATGGCTAGTACTCTGGTAATAACGATACAAAATTAGTCAAATTACATCTACACAAACAGGAGAATATGGGAATCTAAGAACTAACTTATATAGCGGATAGGGCCATTCAAATCGCTATCACGTGCTTTCACATGTAATACGTTGTCATCTTTTCTTATAAATTGTGAAACTACCAAAGCGCATCCGTCCACATTGGGGAACTTTGAATTGGAATAGTTTGGTTCACCATGAATATAAAATAACGAAAATATAGCGTCCGTATCCACAACAAATTCTCGCCAAGTGCTCTGAGCTACATTGACCTAGTGTTACGCATAACGGAGTTATGCCCCCTTATCATTATACGTGTATGACCTCTCTGTCGTTTGACGTCATAGAAGAAAAAACATTTTTGACATTTATTGCGAGTCATTTTTAATGTTGAGCGTATAACGCTCACACTTTCCGTAAAGATGCCACATTAAAAAATTCGTAGCACAGTGCTTTTATCGGCGCACGATAAAAAGCGGAGAAATTTACTGTTTTTTAACGCATAACAAAAATTTGGACAACATTTAGCAAGGTCTATTTCTCAAACCGCCAAGGTAGTTGCCCCTTTATTTATACCAACGGATAGGAAATTTACTATTCTATATTTCTGTGTAATTTTATAGCCGTACGTAGATCCAGGACCACGCGAGCGCAATTCTCGCACAACGTTCACTTTTCAAAGCGTATGAAAATGTGCGCCTGAAAAAAAACTCGGCAGCCAGGGGGTTAAATAAAGGCTGAATATTTATTAAACGCCAATGATGTCAGAAACAGTAAAAATCTGTGCACCAGATATGTATTCAAAAGGGAAGTGAATTGTTTTTCTGGAAACATGGCCGAGACAGTCGTGCAACATTGAGATATCTACAAGCAACAATCACACAATGAGACATTGGGATAAAACATTTGTTTACTTTTGGATCTATACTTATTTAGAGTAAGTTAAAGAACAATCTGTATAGGTGGCAAAACGTACACATCAATTTCATCAAAATATGAAATCGTTTCATCATCTTAAGTAATAATCCCTTAAGAAATATTCGCATGAAATTTACGTAACACCTTTAGTAATTTACGTTAGGGTGAAAAGGTGGCATGATCGATATTGTAATCCATAGAATGAGCATTGCTCTGGTCGCATGCAGAAATTTTCAAACGAGTACCAACACGTGATTTTTGGTGTCTTTGGGGTTTCCCATGTAACGTCATGAACCATTCTAACTGTCAATTAAACGTAGAACACAAAATGTAAATTACATCTTGTTTATCTGAAGTGATCATCCGGGTTCTGTGGTTCTGTTGATGCTGTATTAAACAAAAGAACGTAATGCTGGTTCAAAGTAACCAATGGCCCCATAACGCTTCGCGGTAATGTTAAAATGTCATCACTGTCACGTATGATTACGTTCTAACATAACATGCTTGCTATGTAAACTATATCAGTAGATGTCCTAAATGACACATTGTTTGGTATTGTAACAGCTTCTGTTTTTAGTGACCCATGAAGATCCGGGGTAGAATAGGTCTTCAGCAACCCATGCTTGCCACAAAAGGCGACTATGCTTGTCGTAAGAGGCGACTAACAGTTGACACATGTCATCGGTTCCCAATTGCGCAGATCGATGCTCATGCTGTCGATCACTGGATTGTCTGGCCCAGACTCGATTATTTACAGACCGCCGCCATACAGCTGGCATATTGCTGAGTGCGGCATAAAACTAAACTCACTCACTCACTGTATTTAGTTATGGGTAATTTTTCTGACATAACGTAACTTACACGTGTGCTATCGACAATTGTTTATTAATTACATTCCAGTTGTGTATGTTTACACATGCGCATTTCTTTTCATAAACAGTTTCTGATTGCTTTCAAAACGTATCTACATTCGACTCGTGGTAGCAGTGGTCATCATAGAGACAGCTTTTATTGACGGGTCTGTCACTCACCGACGCCAGAAAAAGCGTACCCCCTACCCATGTATGTCTATACATGAAAAGCATTTGTTTAAATGAGTCGTCAGCTTTCTTGCTTGTCATGTTTCCTATACTTTACTTGTTATCATTATTGCATTTAAAGATCAAAAAGAGCTTTTGGTCTCATGAATCGCATCTTGCAAACACAACGACTGCGATTGTTCACTTTTATTGAGACTGTAACCGAGGCCACGGGGACCCATAACAAATAATGACACAACCACTAAAAATCCATTTCTTTTTTCTCAAAAAGGACACACATGCACACACAAACAAAAAACTCAACCCTTCTCGCTCGGATGCAAGCACTTGTTGGCTGAATAATTGATACGGAAAGAATAATATTGTAAAATATCGAAGTCTACTTGAAAAGACACAATTGTATTGGGAACAACTGGGATTGAAAGCCTGCGCAAGAAGTCTCGTAGAAAATGACGCGCAGGCGGTCGACCTTTGTGAAAAATTTTCACGGTTCAGTTAAGAAAAAGGCCGAGTGGTTTGAGTATTGTAAAATAATTGTCCTCCTGAGAGTCCCAATCAGTTACCACAAACCTCAATCGTAGAATATGTGTTATTATTTATTTATGGCTAGATCGTCTAAACTTGCTAACAGCTGAAGGGATGGTGTAAATCCATCTAGGGTCCATGCATGACGCTACAACTACTGTAAGTCCCTATGGTGATCTTCCTTCAGTTGTTGGCAGTCTATGGCCTATTTTTATTTTGTATTGTCATCTACAGTTCAGCTGCTTTAGATTTAATTACTAGTTTTAAATTTGTATCTGTGTTATCCTAATGTTTTAGATTTAATTGCTAGTTTTACATTTATATCTGTGATGTTCTAGTTGTTTTACTGTCCTTTGTTGACAGGATTTTATAATCTATCATTACTTATTGTTAATCTATAACTTGTTTTAGTCACGATATGGCTAAAATATTGCCAAAGTGACTTTAAATTTTAACTCACTCACTCACTCACTGTGTTATCCTAGTTGGGTTTACTATCCTTCGCTGACAGTTTTAAAAAAAAAATTACTTCTATTTATTCTAAAATTGATACTTGTTTTTAGTCACGATATATGTCTGAAATATTGCCGATGTGGCTAAATTTGAACTCACTCACTCATTGTAATAGTGATATCAACCACAAGCAACTATGGGGATAATTCAAATCATTAAATAGTTTATACACGCTATTTAGGGTCGCAGGGGATGACCGTATTTGACAACTTGACTCCTGAGAGTTTCTCAAAATTCAGTCCTTCCCCACAACGAGGCACATGAAATACATGTGGTCTCATCTTCAGCAAGTGGGTTTGTTCAAACTTGCCTCTGTTCACCCAGCAGAAAATGGATACCCCCTGGGATAAGTCATGTGAAAGTTACTGTTAACCTTCAAGCGCCTCACAGGCAGCTGGGGGTTATCCGGGGTAATAATTAGATTGTAGCGCTTTGAGCGTGACCCTCTGTGGTGCGGGATTCAGCGCATTACAGATGTCCTTATGATATGTTTTACAGATTAAGATGAAAATGCAGCAGAGAGGGTTCTTCTGATCCAGGCACAGTCAAGCTTGTAAGGCTCATCATCAGCTGAGGGCCCTTGCCCCCTCTACACACTGTCCAGACAGCGAATGGAACGTTGCCTAGTAGAACCTACCAAGAATTTTCCGGAGAATATGAAGGCTCGCCAACACTGCAACCTTCTGCATTACCCAGAGTGTCAGGCGGGCTGTGCTCCCGGTGGAAGAGCCGGGCATTCTATTGATCTGCGCCAAGAGATCAGGAGGTACCAAACCAAGGGCACAGAGACAATGGGGAGCTGGAGGACAGTGTGTAGTCGGGCAGAAAACTTTTTGTGACGGTGTTAGGTCACTTTACTCAAAAAGTATAAGTACAATGGTTTTCAAATTGGGCATGATGCATTATAATTGTTCTACCATGGAGAATTGTAAATGTCATGAATTATGATTAAATAATAAAAAAGTTGTTTAACAACTAATGACAGACTTCTCTATTTGTTACGAGGGAGGAGTGCAGAGAGAGGAACAGCCGACAAAGCTATTGATTCATTTAGGCCGAGCCTTTCTCGCACGGTGTTTGCTCACTGTACTCAAAACGTACAAGTACAATCGTTTTATATCATTTGACATGATGCATTATAATTCTTCTACCATTGAGAATTATGAATTTTATCAATTATAACTTAATAATAAAAAAGTTGTTTAACAAACTATCATTAAGATACTGACACAGTTCACTATTTCTTACGAGGGTGGAGTGCACAGAGAGGAACAGCCCACACAGCTATTGATTCATTTACCTGTGCTGAGTCTTTCTCGCACGCCTTAAGTTTGCGCGAATATATCCCTGGAACGTCTTTCAAAATGCAGACAGTTATAACTTTCTACAGATTCTTTTTGTTGGTTATCTGTATTTCAATAACATCAAGTTTGGAAGAGTCTCATTTTAAGAAGATACGCAGTGGAGTTCCCGCCGATTTAGATAACCCCCAACATCTTCAGATCCAGAATGTTTTTGGACTAACGACCTGCGCCATTCTGTGTTCAAACGTGTCATGCCAACAGTTCCAGTATTCAGACACAAGTCGCTTCTGCATCACACGACAAGCAGAGGCGGTATCTGGTGGTGTTATCAACCCAGGCAGTGGTTTGTTTGACACCTACAAACAAGGTACTGTTATTCGATCAATTCTATTACGTGAAAACATTGCATACTCCACGCGTTATATTCCTATACTCCTGGTACTGCAAGAATGAGGCTTAACTGAATTAACATTTCAGATCATTACTCAATTACTATAAAGCGACCAAATATACAGCATTCTCTAATGCAAACCCAGCAAAATTATGTGCTTTCTGGTCCTCCTTCCATACACTTTTTGCTAATTATACCAGAGATGTTATTTAAATATAACGCAGTTGACAGTATACCTGAACACGTGTATACATATAAACCTTGGGTAAAGATAGCAGATATTTTACAGTTAAATTTAATATGTAAATCCTTGTAAGACATTGACCCCTGAATACATGATGTTGATGCTTGTATGATGTTGATGCTTGCATGATGTTGATAACGATGATGTTTTGTATAATGTAAAATGGCAGCACCAAATGTACTTTGGGAAATAAAAATACATAAAAAACCCAAAACAAACAACTACAAAACATTTTAGATCATAACAGAAGAAAAGCTTCCCATTTATCTCTGAGGCTGTTTCATTGAAATATGGCCACAGTGCACTTCTGGATGATCTATTCTTCCTTCTTGTTTTATGTTGATTCATTTCGTGTTGTTATCAGTTGAAAAGAAGAATTGTATAAATGGCATACATTTAAAAGGAAAAGTCAACACTGAATTGACAGGACACGTGAGTGAGTGAGTTGGGTTTACGCCACACTCAGCAATATCCCAGGTATATGGCGGCAGTCTGTAAATAATCCGAGTCTGGACCAGACAATCCAGTGATCAACAGCATGAGCATCGATCTGCGCAATTGGGAACCAATGACACGTGTCAACCAAGTCACCCTGACCACCCGATCCCGTTCGTCGCCACTTACGACAAGCATGGGGTACTGAAGATCATCATTCTAACCCGGACCTTCACTGGCCAGAAATGAGGGTACCGTACTTGCGATGCGAATACCGATCTCTAATAGAAGCAAGCCTATAATAGACGGAGGTATGGTCATCATGGTGCTCTTGGAATCAGCTTCACCCCTCAAAACACACACACACACACACACACACACACACACACACACACAGAGAGAGAGACAGACAGACACACAACAACAACAACAACAACAAACACACACACACACACACCATCTCACGTCCTTCTCACTAGATTTAGAATTCTTAATTATTCAGGTGCCTCCAACGCTGCCTTTCTTCAAGGCTTTCTTTTATTACGGCTTAACAGATCCTACGACATGTTCAGAGATCAGGGAGGACAACCCAGGGGCTCAAAGTGGAGAGTACCACATCATACCTTCAGCTCCTCAATTCAGAGGAATGTCAGTGAAGGTGTTCTGCCTGATGAATGACACACACCAGCTGGAGTATGTCACACTGCCAAATGAAAACATTGGAAACTTTCCTAAAAGGTCGAACGCTTATTGTAACAGTGAAGTGCCGTATCTGAGATTTGATGGTGTTGGCCAAGATGGAGTAACAATGTATCAGAAGATCAGAATTATACCATCGGTAGGTGCACATTTCAATTTACATTTCTGTGATGTGAGTATGAAGGTTTACTTCTTGTTGAATGACACACGCCAGCTGGAGTATGTCGCCCTGCCAAACGAGAACGTTGGAAACTATTCTAAAAGGTGGAACGATAACTGCAGAAATGATTTGCCACATTTAAAAGTTGGCATGGGTGGAGTAACAGTGTATCAGAAAATCAGAATTAAACCATCAGTAAGTGAAAATGAGGTGTAAGTACACCCACACCCGCAGAAGTTATCTGGAGCCCTGCATTGATTGTTTTAATTCCAATTTCTGTGATGTGAGTATGCCAAGTAAAGTGAAGGGAGAACCTACTTGTTTTACTTTTACGTTTTCTATGATAAATGTACCACGTTTTGTGAAAGGCAATGGCAAGTAACATAGCAAAAATGTTTTCGCTGTCACAATCTATGTGCAATTACATGTATTATGTCAACCTGGAGCTGCAGCCGGGAAACACATCTGAAATCTATAGTATGCTCTGATTGTGTGTCTAGGTTTTTGTAGCCTTATACCCGTTTCACCAAAATCGTAACATACAAGACTGCATCATTTTGTACTGTTTTAAGTATTTTCATTATCTCCGTTATACATTATTCGTACTTATTTATAACTTCATTATACATTACACATTTTCCAGAGCTGCTGAAAAAGTTCCAAACAAACAACAATCTGGCCAGCATAAGTTCGTGGCTGAAGTTTAAATTTCTAAAACTTAACTATTCAACAGGTATATTGTCCCCAGGGAACACGCATGACCCAGTTGTTGTGGTGCCCGACATCTATGATCTGCCGGATCTATATCATGACCTTATCTGTTTCATGAATATCGTAAATAGTGATTACATCTTCGTGTAGTTTCCAAAATATCCCAACCAATTCTAGGTTTATCTGCGACGTTTCAGAATTACCATTGGTGATTTGATGAAAAACAGTGAGTGAGTGAGTTTAGTACGCTGCACTCAACAATATTCCAGCTATATGGCGGCAGTCTGTAAATAATCCGAGTCTGGACCAGACAATCCAGTGATCAACAGCATGAGCATCGATCTGCGCAATTGGGAACCGATGACCTGTGTCAACCAAGTCAACGAGCCTGACCACCTGATCCAGTTAGTCGCCTCTTACGACAAGCATGGGTTACTGAAGATCAATATTCTAACCCGGACCTTCACGGGTATGATGAAAAACAGAGTGATTACTAATAAAATGTCATTTTGTAACTTCAATCCTTCAATTAATTATCTGACTTTTACATTTCAAAACATACACCAAATAACGCTGTGAAACAGAGATTACTAAACAAGTGTCTGCTAGATACCATTTATCTTACGAGTTGTTTCAAAACGTATTTAACGAGTGGAAGTGAGTTATAAGATAATTGATATCTGACACACACGAGTACAGTAATCTGTTTCTAACACACCATAAAATCGTACTATTTTAAGGTCGAATAGATTCGAATTTCACATTTTCTAAGCGTAGTTGCGCAATAATGCACAACACAACGTTTATGAATGAGTGACGTCACTTGTCTACCTAATCACTACCCATCGCCAAGGTGCCCCTCCACTAGAGTTTCTGCCATCTTCTCGTTATCCAGGCGATAATGACAATGCAAACTAGATAAGATCACAGAAATGTTATTAAACACTCTAAAATGATGACGTTACCATGTAAATGTAGATGATTTTACTTCTTGCAAACATGAAATAACTGAGCGTGTGACGTCATCATTATCGTTTGGTGGTTGTCGTCATCGGAAGATTGTTTGGGTATCTCTGCACATTGGGGATCTGTACTTGTGTACCAGTCTACGTTCAATGTTCTCCCATCGACCGAGCCAAAACTACTGAGTGTGTGTAATTAGGTGTAAAACGAAGGCTTGAATGTGACATTGCTGAGGTTACGTTCACTATCGATGGGGGACTACTCTTCTTAGACACAGGTTCTCATTTTCCCGACGTAAGTCCCTAAACTTCGTAAGCTAAATTTAAACTTACCAGATTTTTAAAACGTAGTATTTATGTTATTTTAAAGTTGGCTTTATATTTCCTACAATCGCCAGCGGCAGAAGGGATGTTGTAAATCCAACTAGGGTCCATGCAGATAGCAAAGGTGCTGTAGTTGAGTTTAGTTGAGTTGAGTTGGGTTTTGCGTCACATCGGCATTATTCCAGCCATATAGTGACGAGAACAAGTTTGCATTAATAAACATTGTAAGTACATACTCGGAATGAGTTTTATTTCAAAAACATATATTCATTACATTGTCATTTAAAAGCAGAAAAAGTCACAGCATCAAAGGCAGGCAATTTGTTAGTGACATTTCACAGTTCAACTATCCCTCAGGTATACTGTCAGATGGCACGCGGGAGAACAGATCTTTAGGTTTGTTGCATCATAATGTGTCCCTTGCAGACGCATTCCACATTCCAGCACAATTTATGGTGATCATCGCAAGAGACACACATCGGGGTCCATTCATCCGTTTTCAGCAGATAGTCATGAGTAAATCTGTCAATACGACATCGTAAAATTACCTCTTCACGTCTTGACTGACAACCAAACGCCAATTGTTGGTTTCAAGAACAGTTTATTTCTTCCTACTTGAGTGTTTTTTGCATGAAGTCCCGAGTATATTTTGATAGTGGGTTTCCAGAAGTCACTGTACGGGATGGGGTGACTTGTCAAGAGCTGTTTTAATATTTGTGTTACCTGCTATGCCGACGAAGGCAACCAAGATGTCGAATCTTGTAAAGTTGAAAATGTCCAGATGATGGGGTGACTTGAAGTAATTTTGGAATGATTCAAGATAATGAATGTTTGAAAACGAATTTAGGTCATAAGCTCAAAGCTGAAAAGATAGCTTTGGCCTCGGCAGTGAAAATGGAACTGTTGTCGGGAATCCTAGAGGAGACAGTCTTAGATCCAATGACTGTAGCACTGGCGACTTGGCCCTCATCCTTGGAACCGTCTGTGAAAATGGATCTATTGGTGTCATACTTGGAACGTAACTGGATGTATTCCTGCTGGAACACCAAGGGATTTGTTTGAGAGTTTTTGAATTTAGTGAGGGTAAGATCGACCTGTGGTTTCACCATCTGCCAGGGTATTGAAGACAGGAGTCGGTAAGGTGCTATGCTATTGAGATCAATTTTAGCTGCAGATATGTGTGGTTGAATTCTGATTCCAAGTGGTGAAACCAGGCTTGGCAGTTTAGGAAACAAGTTTTCACAGAGAGGGTTGAAAACACAATTGTATGCTGGATTGGACTGATTTGAACGTAGTTTAGTGATATACTGCAGTGAAAGTTTAATGCGGCGTTGTTCAATCTGACCCCAGGTCACAGACATCGGCTTGGAAATTGATCTCACACATGTGTTTGTTACCAGTTTTCCCACACTGGTTTCCCACCCACGTGTGTGTAGGAGACCCACAATTCCTTTGAATTTAACTTTAACTCTACATTTCTACAGGCAGAACTGAAATGCAGGTGTAATGTGTATTTTATGGCATTAGATTTGTATATTATTTAATTTTAAGTTCAAATTTTCATTTTGGATAAAAGACATTTAATTCTCCTTAACACATAATCAACATTTCTATGCTTTAGACAATGGCTGTTGTGACAGAGGACACTACCTTCACCAGCGGAAACAAAACGAAGCCACACAAGTACGGTATGGCAGTGGATTGTTACTCATCTACAAAAGCATGCAAGGGAATAGGAACCTTTCACATTGACACCCTGGGCACTGGAATGAAGTTCGCCACTGAAGTAAGTGATACATTTTCGTTAGTATTATCAATACTAAAGTATAATTTTTAAAATCAAAGTGAAAACCATGAATAGTGTATCAATATCACATGATTATATCCATATCATCACCTTGCTTCCTTGATGATAGCAAAACAAAGACTTGATATGAAAAATACATTTTAATAGATCTTTTCACATACAGCTCATGTGGACTGGCTATGGACACGCGGGCGATTTGCGCAGTATTACCCGGACACAGGATGGCGCCATCATTGATCTGGTGTGTGGAGGCTGGTGTGGGGGATGTGTTCCTATTGGAGACATGGTCCTCTACCCAAACAGTCAGGATATTCAGCCATAGACCATCTGTGTGGAGGAAGATGTGGATAGAGGAAGCTTGTAGTAGTGTGATCCTGACGGAGATATTCAGACTGTGTTGAAGATGCCCCCAAAAAGGTGATAATGAAAAAGGTGCATGCTATTCTTGTGATTGACGACAGTCATCTACCGAAACACAGGCTCGAGGACCATGTAGATGAAGCCGATGGTGTGTTTCGTGTAGAATGAAGGTCCTCTAAGGACAGTCACACCCTGACTTGTGTATGGTATGTGCACTACTTCTGACAGTATGTTGTGTTTATTCAAGGTAACTTGAAATTAGTTTCAAATACATTACTGTGTTGAACTTACTTTCGAAAATCATTGAAACACCAGGTGTCCGGCAGAATTACATTATAGATTTATTTTTATGGAACACCTTTGATGCCATCCGTCATAATGTGGCCATGAGTAGATTCATATCAAGTTTATAGGTAAATATCTGATGATGGCACTTTGACATGCATGGACACGCACCTATATGCATCGTATGATGGGACTTTGACATGGTGATTTCGCTGGTACTTTAACGACCACGAAGACATGCTTATCTGCATCAGATATTGAGACTTTGAGTTCATAGGTCACATACCCTACTTGCACCTGAGTATGGCTCTTCGTCATTCATGGACACGTCCGTATGTGCATCAGATAATGACTCTTCGACTTCCTTGGACACACTCAAACATCTGACAATATCAAATGTTCTCGTCACGATATGGCTGAAATATTGCCGATGTGACGTTAAATATTAACTCACTCACTCACTCAAACAGCTGATGATGGCCACACTTTCAAAGTATATTTAATCTCACCACACGTTTAAGCAAAGTATATATATGTTCGTTTAAATCAATGGCTGAATATGTCTAAATTGTCAACAGCTGAGGGGATGATGTAAGTCCAGCTAGGGGCCATGCAGGTAGTAAAAGTTCTGTAAGTCCCAATGGTCTCTAGCATGGTGATCTAGCTTCAGTTGTTGGCAACCTATAACCCAGTGGTGTAGTGGTTAGCATGCTGGCCTCTCACGCCAAATGTCCGTGTTCGGGTGAGACACCGAAATTTGTGACCTGGGTCTCATACTGTGCTGTGTCCCTGGGCAAGACACTTCGTCCACAGTGCACTCAGTCCACCCAGCTGTTTCAAATGGGTACCTGAGAAGCGCATGTACGGACCAGATACGGTCAGATAGCAGCATCGTGTTGGATTCTAGGCGCAACAATTAGCATTTTTATTAGCATTATATTGTAATGTTCTATTTAATAATATCGTTTTATGATAGCATGCAAGTTTTACTTTAATATCTGTGATATACTAGAAATTATAATGTTCTTCGAAATGTGACGCATAATTCAATTCTTACTAACGCACTGATATATTGTCATGGAATGTGATGTACAACCATCCTAAGAATATTAGATGACTTAAACCTTGCAATTAATCTATTTGGCTTGAAAGTATCATCAGTAGTTATTACAAGTGTTGATCAAGGCTTAGTTCACCCGTTCTAGACAATTAAATCTATTGAAGATTATTAGTCCACAAAGTATTGGTTTCATTCTTATAACCAATCCTTGCTACATTAAAGCAGGATATTATGTTTTAAAATATTGTTGAGTAATGAATACGTCTAAGAAAACAATATATGCTTGTATAAAGTTTCTTCTGACCAAAGGAAGAAATTACCTCCTGCTGCAAGTATGTAATACATACACATGTCATGTCATGCCATGTGGGGTTGAGTGGGGAGTGGTGAGGTGGGGTTAGGGTGTGAGTGAGTTAACATCGAGTTTATTGCTAAGGCCCATGGTTCCTAGTATGGTGATCTACCTTCAGTTGTTGGCGATCTATAGCCCGTGTTTTATATTGTATTGTCTTCTTTAATTGGAATGTTTTAGCTTTGCTCGCTAGTTTTATATTATATCTGTGATTATCTAATATTTTTACTGTCCATCGTCGACAGGTTTTCATCTTCAAAATGTTTTCACTTTATATTGTATAAATTGTTTTCGTCACGATATGGTTGAGATATTGCCTATGTGACGCTAAATATAAACTCACTCACTCACTTATTGCTAAGGGAGGTAATTTGATCCTGTACAGCTTTCAGCGTTAAAGCGAGATCAGCCATGACCGACGGATTGAGACGCTTTCGTTTGTCAAACACTGTCCATTCTTAGTTGAGAATCGCGTCTGTACTTTATCAGGGGGTGTAATGAGGCCCTTGGTTCAGTTCTATGTCGCCCGATGCTATTAGCAGACTAAATGACAACAACACAATTCGCAGTGCTATCCCTATGCCGCATATGAGTCGAATAACGGGGGACACGATTGCCAGTCTTGACTCGTGGACAAAGTGTACCGATTTTGAGTCTCCAAACTTCTGCTGAGACACCCATGTTTAAGCATAAGATGCACGAACACTTATGAGCAATTGGAACCGGTCGTATTGTCTCAATAACTCACTTTAAAGAAGTTTGAAGCGGTTTATTTTCTCTCTGTTGTTGATGAGTGACTTCTGCCCTTGACGATCACGTGACTACATTTGGAATCTCCATGACATGAACGGATCGTGATTCTGAAAAGGGCTGTATCATCCCCAGGGGTTCTCACCCGTACTCGGCCAAATTTAACAATAACAACAAGAAGAAAACAGTTAGTGTCGTTATGTATGAACTGACATCTGATCTGCCGGTGGGAACGTAGAAAGATCGATTTCAGACAGACGCTTATCTATTAAAGATCACATATACTCTAGGGGGGTACAAATACATAAGACCCGTGAAGATCCGGGGTAGAATAGGTCTTCAGCAACCCATGCTTGCCACAAAAGGCGACTATGCTTGTCGTAAGAGGCGACTAACGGGATCGGTTGGTCAGGCACGCTGACTTGGTTGACACATGTCATCGGTTCCCAATTGCGCAGATCGATGCTCATGCTGTTGATCACTGGATTGACTGGTCCAGACTCGGTTATTTACAGACCTAGCCAAACCTAGCCAACAGGTAACGTTTATGACAACAAGCGGTTTTGACAGTATCGTCTGTTTTTTTAGAATTAAAGTTATATTATGATTAACTGAGACCATAGATGGTGGTGGCACTACGAGGGTTAAGATAGTATAAAATACTGTCCTTATTCCGGTGAAACATAAGTCCTTTGATGATCATAGTATATAATATTGTCTAGTGTTTCAGAATTTTGATTTTAGTCTTTAAGATATTGGCTAACATAACCTACAGCCACTGACAACCTAACATATGGCGTAAATCCTGCTGGGAACTCTTGTAGGAAGCAAAAGCAATGTAAGTCCCTTTGATCCTCAGTAAGGTGTTCAAACTTGCGTTGTTAGTGGTTTATAGACTTGTTTTAATTGGTAAGAATAAATCTATTGAAACTTGTCTATATTTTCATCAGGTTGTTTTTTTTAAGCTGTGACATACCTTCCTATCTTACTGTCCCCTGTCGATAATTCTATTAAGTAAGAGTCACGTTCGAAAGGATATGAAAAGAGACAACAACCTGCAATATATTGAACGCCCACAGAGTGCTAGCATCGCATGAGTTCACTTTAAACACACCACAGACAGAAACTACAGCATATTCTTTAATAACAATAAATAGGTATACTTTTTATTTGGATTTCAACGCCTTCAGAACGCATGTGAACGCGTTCAGAACGCATGTGACGCGTTTGGAAAGGGTGTGCAACGTGTTTGTGTGTCACACGCTTGTGCAACGAGACTCACACGCGTGTAGCATGCATGTAACACGGGACCAAGTTTCAATTGAATTTGACGAAGAGCGCGAAGGTTGCATAGTTAGAATTGTATGAATTTTTAAATCGGAAATTTGTTAGAAGTGTCTGTAGTGTTAGATGTGGTTTGTGTTCAGTGAACTCTGGAGCACCGCGTTGTTGGTAGTGTATGCAGTGTAGTAGGACGCGCTTGGGCGTTTCTGTTTCGTTGCAGTTTGTGAACTTGTCTGTTTGGAATTTAATTTTGTTTGGCCTGTTTTTAATTTGACTATTGTCCTGTAAATGTTTTTATATTTATGGTAGTTTTTGTGTTTTTATTTGATAGATTGTTTAGTTATGATTTTGGATTTTGGTATTTACTTTTCTAGTTTTGGAAGTTTTCTAAAGGATAATATTATTTCAGATATCAAACGAAATCAAAAGCCTTTACATGGAGCACTTATGGAAGAACACAGTCACCAAAACTATTGCCCTAACCTCATCAGGTGGGGTGAATCATAAGAAACAACAAAGTTCAAATATTCATTCATTTTCATACATGTCACGTATAGATGGAACACATCTGTATCATTTATCATGATAACACGCTGTCATGACAGATCATTATTATTGTCACATCATTCATGTTCACTATGTTGTTCACTGTGGCAGAATAACCCAATCTGGAAGATCATGAGCTCAGGCCAAACAACAGGAATCAGGTGAATTGTAAGATGGAGGTCCAGCAATACCTCACAAGGTGCATATATACAGTAGGAACAATATCAGACTTAAAACAAGTCTGGATAACTAGAACTGAGGCATTGTATGACTCGCCGCGAGTCGCCAAGACGAAGTCTCTTTGCCAGTGAATCCATGGTGAATTTATACTTGATTTCTAGAGCAACGATCACAACCCTCTTGACCGAGTTTTTCAGCCTCTTCCTATTGTTCTGGGGCTAAAGACTTTCTTTGTCTCCACTGGCAGACGATTTGTAGACAATTTGTTGAAAAATTATTGCGTGAACGCATGCAGCAGGGTAAACGTTACTATTTAGTCAAGTGGGTTGGTTACTCAGAACCCTCATGGGAACCCTCTGAACATGTTACTGAAGAATCCAAGCGCATCTTTCATTAACGCTTCACCATGAAAGGTAAGAGACGGAAACGACCCTATAAGTACCTCAAAATAGATAACAGGGATTAGGGATGTGTCTTCAAACCTAAATTCATTGATTGCAACACCATCTAGATCATACATACATGTAGTTATGAAGTGCTAGAAATTGCGTGCGCGCCGCAATTTCAGCCACACCCTAAATGCTGTTCCATTTGGTGTACACAGAAAATGATGCCATTTTTCTTGTGTATTGTTTTCGGCAAGAGGCACATCGCTAATATCCTCAGTATCATGATTGTCAGATGTTCCAGTAGTGCTGTATCACTATCCCTTTAATGCTCCTTACTACCACCATTACGATCATTTGATTTATGATTAATGCCTGTACACATGTTCTCGTCAGCCATCATGGATCCTCGGTACCAGTTGTTTCCATACCGCAATTTATTCATCACTCGTAATGTATTGTATGATGTCATTTTTGTTTATTAAAATTTCGGGACGGAATTTTAGAATAACAGGGGGATACTATTAACACGGTAAAACTGGACAAAGTCTTACCAATATTTATGACAGTATATATTATTGAAAACTGGACATGTACAGATTAACTGACCACGTTTTACAATCTTCAAGCTGCCAAGGGTCACATTGATAACAAACGTCCGAAACAAGTATCTGGTCTGTGGCTGCAGATAGCAATAAGCTAATCTAATTCACTGGGAACTTTTACTCATCAACACCGATGTCTTCAATACGTTTATCAAAATTATCATATAATCCCGTCAAGATAAAGTAGCTTAAGTGCGCAGTTGGCACCGTATCGTCAGTCGAGTTAGGCAATAGGATTTAGATATAGCAACTGAAGTTAACAACAACAACATTATCGTCAGTTTTATCAGTAAATGGGATTATCTATGATAACTGGAATAGGTATAAAACGGGGACGACACACAGTCACAAATCGTTCAGTGACTGCTGAATAATAAACTCCTTGTTTATTTACTCAGGTGTTGTGTTGTGAGTGGGTTGGTATGGGCAGACCTCATGCCAAGCGAG